TTTGTGTGTGTGTTGTTGTGGTTGTGGGGTGTGTATGTGGGGGGGGGGAAAGAGGAGGGGAGGAATGCCTCTCAGGTCCAGGAAGGGAGGGAGGGAGGGCACCACAATGCATAAAGGATGTTGAGAAGCTGGAGCGTGTCCAAAGGAGGGAGACCAGAATGGAGAAGTCAAAGATATAGCCTAAAGATATAGCCCTGTTAGTCTGTAGCAGGGGTAGGCAACCTTTCCCCTTTAAGGGCCGAGGGACTTCAGCTCCCAGAATCCCAGGAGTTATTGGCCAACATGGGACTATTGGCCAACATGGCTGAGGCTTCTGGGAGCTGAAGTCCCTCGACCCTTAAAGGGGAAGGGTTGCCTACCCCTGGTCTGTAGAATCAGTGTCTAGAGGGACCTCTTTGCACCTTTGAGACTCACTAAAAGTCTCCTTCAGTCCGTCTCAAAGGTGCAACAAGATCTCCTCTCTACATAGAAAATGGAGAAGGGTCTGGGAACCATGCCTTATGAGGAGAGACTTAAGGAGCTAGGTATGAAGAGAAGGTTAAGAGGGGGTATGATAGCCCTGTTTAAATATTTGAAGGAGTGACACATTGAGGATGGAGCAAGCTTGTTTTCTGCTGCTCCAGAGAACAGGACCTGGAACAGTGGATGCAAGCTACAGGAAAAGAGGTTCCACCTCAACATTAGGAGGAACTTCTTGACAGTAACAGCTGTTTGACAGTGGAACACACTCCCTCCGAATCTCCTTCTTTGGAAGTCTTTAAACAGAGGCTGGATGGCCATCTCCTGGTGGTGCTTTGATTCTGTATTCCTGCATGGCAGGGATGGCCTGTTTGGTATCTTCCAACTCTATGATTCTATGATAAGTAAGTAAGGAAGGAAGGTGGCATACACACTGTAGAGATGCACAGCTAGGGAAATGTAGAACTAGCATAGGGGTGGGCAAGATTTGTTCAGAGGAGGTTTATCCCTTGCTTTCCCCTGAGGTCTCCCAGTTGGTTTCGTGGCTGAGCTGGGATTTGAAGCCTGGTCTCCAGAGTTGCAGTCCAGCATTCAAACCACTTTGTCACACTGGAACGTACAACTAGGGAAAACTGGGTAATGGGCATTGGCACGGCCAATTTCTTTGGGTCAATTCAGGTGTTCCAAGGCTGGTATGTCTGAATGTGCTCCACACTGACAGAATATGTCTTGGACCAAAGTGAATGACATCTTCAAAGGGTGTATAATTTGGGGTGTTGTTGTTGTTGTGTGCCTTCAAGTCATTTCTGACTCATGGTGACCCTGAGGCAGACCTATCATGGAGTTTTCTTGGCAAGATTTGGTCAGAGGTGGTTTGCCATTTCTTCCCCTGAGGTTGAGAGAGTGTGATTGGCCCACAGTCGCCTAGTGGGTTTCGTGGCTGAGCTGGGATTAGAACCTTGGTCTCAAGAGTCGTAGCCCAATGCTCAAATCACTGTGCCACATTGGCTCACACAGTGTAGATGTAGAGTCAGGGAAACTGGACAATTGGCATGGAGGTAGATGGGATTTCCCTACCAACTTCCACTCCACAGGATTATAGCCCCAGGTGAACCTGGGAAGGAGGGAAGAGGAATCATCCAGGGGTTTCATGTTTACCCTTCCCTCTTTTCTTTCTTTGGTTGCATCCACACTGCTGAAATAATCCAGTTTGACACCACTTTAACTGCTGTGGCTCAGTGCTGGGGAATTCTGGTGATTATAATGTTGTGAGCCATTTAGCCTTCTCTGTCAGAGAGCTCTAGGGCACAACAAACTGCAACTCTCAGAATTCCACAGCATTAAACCGTGGCAGTTAAAGTAGGGTCAAACTGGATTATTTTGGCAGTGTAGATGAAGCCAAAGAAAGAAAGACCAGAAGGGTAAACATAAAAGCCTTGGATGATCTCTATACTCTCCTTCTCAGGTGGAGTGGAGGTTGGTAGGGAAATCCCACCTACCTACATGCCAATTTTCCAGTTTCCCTATCTCTACATTTCCCTAGCTCTACATCTACACTGCGCGAGCCACCATGGTGTAGTGGCTTGAGTGCTGGACTATGACGGTGGAGACCAGGGATCAATTCCCAGCTCAGTCATGAAACCCACTGGGTGACCTTGGGCAAGTCACACTCTCTCAGCCTCAGGGGAAGGCAATGGCAAACCTCCTCTGAACAAATCTTGCCAAGGAAAGCCCCATGATAGGTCTGCCTTAGGGCGCCATAAGTCGGAAACAACTTGAAGGCATATAACAACAACA